GAAATCAATCCAAACATCTACAACAAACTTATATTTGATCAAGCAGCTAAAACCAATTCCTGGAGCAAGGACAGTCTATTCAACAAATGGTGCTGGGAAAACTGGATTTTCACATGCAGAAGTATGAAGCAAGACCCCTACCTTACAGCTTACACAAAAATCCACTCAACATGGATTAAAGATCTAAATCTATGACCCGACACCATCAAATTATTAGAGAACATTGGAGAAACCCTGCAAGATATAGGCACCGGCAAAGACTTCTTGGAAAAGACCCCAGAGGCACAGGCAGCCAAAGCCAAAATTAACAACTGGGATTACATCAAAGTGAGAAGTTTCTGTACTGCAAAAGAAACAGTCAGGAAAGTGAAGAGGCAACTGACAAAATGGGAGAAATTATTTGCAAACTATGCAACTGATAAAGGATTAATAACCAGAATCTACAAAGAGATCAAAATACTCCACCACAACAAAACAAACAACCCATTTAAGAGATGGGCCAAGGACTTAAACAGACATTTTTCAAAAGAGGAAATCCAAATGGCTAACAGACACATGAAAAAATCTTCAGGATCACTAGCCATCAGGGAAATGCAAATCAAAACCACAATGAGGTTTCACCTCACCCTGGTTAAATGGCTTTCATACAGAAATCAACAAACAGATGCTGGTGAGGATGTGGGGAAAAAGTTATCCCAATCTGCTGTTGGTGGGAATGCAAACTGGTAAAGCCACTATGGAAGACATTTTGGAGATACCTCAGAAATCTGAATATAGTCCTACCACAGACCAGGCAATTCTACTCCTTGGAATTTACACAAGGGAAATGACATCAGCAAATAAAACAGTTATCTGCACCTCCATATTTATTGCAGCTCAATTCACAATAGACATAGACATAGAATCAACCTAAATGCCCATCAACAGAAGACTGGATAAAGAAATTATGGGATATGTACTCTATGGAATACTACACAGAGGTAAAAAAAAAATGAAATCAGGTCATTTGCAACAAAAATGGAGGAATCTGGAAAACACCATGCTGAGTTGAATAAGCCAGTCCCAAAGGGACAAATATCATATGTTCTCCCTGATCTATGACAACTAACTGAGCACCTAAAAGGAAACCTGTAGAAGTGAAACTGACACTATGAGAAGCAATGATTTGATCAGCCTTTGTCCTGACTGTTGAGGAACAGCTTACTATTTTATTATTTTTTTAGTATTTTCTTTTTCTACTTAATACCATTGGTTGAACTCTTAACACAGAATTATTCTTAGGTGTTTAAATCCTATTGAAAATTGATCCCTGTGAAAAATAAGAGTTGGAATAAGAGAGGGAGGAGGGATACAGTTTGGCACATGTTTCCTAGGACTTACCCCTAAGGGTAAAGCTAAAAACTTGCCATGGGACTCCAAATCCCATTAAGTTGACAGGTACCAATGCCATCTTACTAGTTAAAGTGATCAGTTAAAGTTCATAACTGATCATAAAGATAGGAATAAGTGTCAAAGGGATCACATAAATAAGTCCAAATGTCTGCTAATAGTAATAGATAGAATCAAAAAGGAGAGAATGATCCAACATGGGAAGCAGGCCACCCAGCAGACTCATAGAATGACAAATGCCCTAAAAAGCACTCTGGACTCAGAATCAGCCCTTAAGGCACTCAGATCTGGCTAAAAAGCCCATGAGAGCATTTTAGGCATGGAATGCCAAGACACTGTGGCAAAAAATGACCTACATGAAAGATCCCTGTGGGTGAGATCTCAGTGGAAAGAAGGGGCCATTAAAGGAAGCACCTTTCTCTGAAGGGAGGAGAGAACTTCCACTTTGCTTGTGGCCTTGTCTAAATAAGGTCGGAGTTTGTGAACTCAAGAGGCTTCCATAGCCTTGGCACCTCATAACAAGAGCCTCAGGTATCACTGATGTCATAAATAAGAGTGCCAATTATTAAATCAGCAATAGGAGTCACTGTGCACTTGCTCCCCATGTAGGACCTCTGTCCTTAATGTGTTGTACTGTGAGATTTAACGGTAAAATTAGTCTTCAAACAGTACTTTATACTTTGTGTATCTGTGTGGGTGCAAGCTGGTGAAATCTTTACTTAGTATAGAGTTGATCTTCTGTAAATAAAGATAAGTAAAAATGAATCTTAATGAAGAATGGGATGAGAGAGGGAGTAGGAGGTGGGATGGTGTGGGGGTGGGAGGGCAAATATGCAGGGAAGAACCTATATAAATCCAAAAGTTGTACTTATGAAACATATTCATTAAATAAAAGCTTTCTATAAAAACAACAAAAAAGTCTACCTTCTAATAATACTATACCTATTTATGTATAATTTCAGAACCTTACAAAATATGTTCATTTTCCTAACTTAACATTGTATAATTTTTTCATAAATTTCACTTCCACATGTTATAATCCTTATAATAATAATCCTTATAATAATGCTAAAGTTTATGCTTTAAATGACAAATTATAACCCACAGACAATATTATACTTAATGGAAAACAAGACAAAAATGGCCATTTTTGCCACTTGGATAGTGCTGAAAGTTATAATATAGCTCCGCATAGTGCTGGAAGTTCTAACCATGATTTAGCCATGAAAAAGAAATAAAAGGCATACAAATGAAAAGGATTAAGTAAAATTATCTGTTTGCAGATGCCATATGTAGAAAACCCAAAAGATTCCACAAAAACTAATAGAACTATTAAACAAATTCAACAAAGTTTTAGGATACAAAGGCAACATATGCAAATCAGTTGCATATGAGCACAATTACACAATTACACAATGAGCACAATATAAGAAAGAGAACAATCTATTTTAATAAAAAGATATCAAGCAATTAACGAAGGATACAAAGATTCATATCTGGAAAGCTATAAAGCATTGCTGAAAGAAATTAAAGAAAACATAAATAAATGGAAAGACATTCCATATTCATGGAGTAGAAGACTTAATATTATGAAGATGACAATACTACCCAAGGTGACCTATCGTTTAATGCAATATCTCTCAAAATCCAAAATGGCATTTTTATAAAAATACAAAAAGTTCCTAAAATTCTTAGCGAATGTCAAAGGACTCCAAATAGTCAAAACAATCTTGGCTAAATCTTGGAAGGCTCACAATTTCTGATTTCAAGACTTACTATAATGCCTGGTAATCGAAACATTGTGGTACTGGCATACAGAAACACATACAGACCAATAGAATAAAACTGAGTGCCCAGAAATAAATCTTTGAACCATGGTCAATAAATCTTTGAAAATATTGTCCATTGATTTTGACAAGAATGCCAAGAGTATTCATTCACTGGGGAAAGGACAATTTCTCCTCAGCAAATAGCACTGCGGAAACAGGGTATCTGCATTCAAAAGAGTGAAGCTGAAACTACCCTGTGTCATGCACAAAAATTTATTCAAAATTGATCAAAGACCTAAACATAGGAGTTAAAACTATTAAAAAAGAAAACATACAGAACAAACCTCATGGCACTGAATCTGGCAACAACTTTTTCATGACACCAAAAACACAGATAACAATATATCTATAAAAACAAATATTTTGAATTTCATCAAAATTAAAAACTTTTGTGCATTAAGGGCCACTATCAAGAGAGTGCAAAAACAGTCTACAGAATGAGAGAAAACATGTGCAAATCATATATTTGATAAGGGATTAAAATTAATCTAATTGTGCCTCTAGCTCTAACTTCCAGTTTACAGAAAGATGGGATAGAGTAATAAGTTAAATATTAATATGACTAAACAAGCAGGCAAATATAGACAGGAGACATTTTAAAAGGTAAATAGCTTGGTAGAGTATTGTATAAGATTAAAAAGACTGAATAGACAACAAAAGGCCATTTGAAAACCATGACTGGATCTGGGATTGTTGAGGGCTGAGGAGTTATGGAAGAGCTTTAAAGGCATTCTTAAGATAATTGGGAAAATGTGAGTCTATATATTAAGTATGATATCATTGTTGATATGCAGAATAATGTACTTATGCCTCAGAGATGCATGCTGATACAGTCAATAGTAAAGTGCTAATGGTATGTGAAAGTTATTTTTAAATGGGTCTACCCATTAAGTGTGTGTGTGTGTGTGTGTGTGTGTGTGTGTCTGGGAGAGAGAGAGAGAGAGAAAGGCAGAAATGTCAAATTTTAGTGAAATATAGGTAGGTAACTACTAGTCCTCTTTTTTAATAGATTTGAAATTTTTGAAAATAAACTGTTTGGATTAACTAGCTATAGGGCTCTCAATTATATAATGTCAAGTGATTAAAATAGTAAACTTAGAGTCAGTGCTGTGGTGCAGTAGGTTAAGCCTCTGCCTGAGGCACTGGTATCCCATATGCGCACCAGTTCGAGTCCCACCTGCTCCACTTTGGATCCAGCTCTCTGCTGATGGCTTGGGAAAACACTGAAAGATTGCCCAAGTGGTTGGGCCTCTGCACCCATGTAGGAGACCTGGAGAAAGCCCCAGCTCCTGGCTTCAGATCAGCCCAGCTGTGGCCATTTGGCCATTGCAGCCATTTGGGGAATGAACCAGTGGACAGAAGACTTTGTCTCTCCCTCTCTCTGTAACTCCACCTCACAAATAAATAAATAAATCTTAAAAAAAAAAAAAGGTAAACTTTATGTTATGGGAATTTTACCTAAAAACAAAAAAGAGCTGTAGATATATGAAACTATGGAACTATTGTGAAACTTCTTGGTTTGTTCTGCATCACTCAGAGCATGTCAGCAGTCGTGGGAATGGTATCCCAGGAGTTAAGCAACAACACAGCATGGATACACTGGTGCCTTCATGTTAGAACAGAGTAGAAAGGAAACACAGAATCTTGATGCAGAATATTTTTTTAAAGACAATAAATTAGTTCTATATAACTGACAAAATAGTCAATTTTAAAGTACATAGATGGATTATAATTTGGTCAAGTAAAATATAGTCTCAAAAGCAAACCAAAATGGCTACATACCTGGATTGATAGATGGAGGGGGTGGAGGTGGGAGGGGCCGGCCTTCTTTAATAGCTATTGTACACTGCTTTGCTGATCTAATTGCATTAATGAAGTCTTCATGTTGTTGTCTCCAGTTAGATTTCCTCACAGGTTGAGACTAAAAAAATAAAAACAACAATTACTATCCTGGACTATGGCCCTCTCAATTTTTTTTTAAAAGTTGGAATTTGAATTTATAGGAAACAGGACTGTGAAATATGGGGCAGAAGGAGAATTTGTATAACTAATTAAAGACATTTGGAAAATGCATTAATAAAATTTACAAGTAACAAAATGAAACAATAACGTCTTATTTATTTATTTTTTTTTTTATTTTTTTTTTTTTGCCACGCAGAGTTATAGACAGAGAGAGAGACAGAGAGTTATAGACAGTGAGAGAGAGACAGAGAAAAAGGTCTGCCTTCCATTGGTTCACTCCCCTAATGGCCGCTACGGCTGGTGCTGCCCTGATCCGAAGCCAGGAGCCGGGTACTTCCTCCCGGTCTCCCATGTGGGTACAGGAACCCAAGAACTTGGGCCATCCTCCACTGCTCTCCCGGGCCACAGCAGAGAGCGGGCCTGGAAGAGGAGCAACCGGGACAGAATCTGGTGCCCCAACCCGGAATGGAACCTGGGGTGCCGGCGCCACAGGTGGAGGATTAGCCAAGTGAGCCATGGCGCCGGCCATAATAAAGTTTTAAGGGAAGACAAGTGTAACATTAAAATCTTCCCAAGTTAATTGCTAGATTTAAGCCATCCTAATGAAAATAGAAACAAGATTCTTTTGGCCATATCTAGAAAGTGTCTGAAATATATTTGCAATTGAAGTGAGCAAGATAATATATTTACATGATACTACCCAGCACTATGAAGCAAACATGGAACCAGAGAGAACAGAAATGAGCTTCAGTGAACATATTAAAGAACAATAAGGAAGATATCAGTAGTACCTTGGATTGAGGAGCCTTCTTCACAGTAGGGATGTCAGTGCCCTGTAATCTTTGTTTCAAGGAATTGAAAGGCTTACGTTTTTTGTTGAAGAGTTTTCTACATATTGGTTCATGCCTTTCCTAGAAAAGGAAGGATAGGGATCGGAATTTTGAAAATGCACACTTTTTTTTAATGTCTAGGTGTACTTAACCCCATGACAGTAACTGGGTTGCACCTTCAGAGCCTTGACTATTCTCAGATCACAGCAGAGTAAATATGCTTGGCTGTCCTCATCATGCTGCATATAACTTGATACTGTGTTTGGGCACAGACAGTGAAAGGCCTTTACACAGAAAATTACTTCAAAATATGCTCTTCACTTCAACCTGTAGTTCTTTAGGCACTCAACATTTTCACCACTGAAACCGGAGAACCAACACATAGACCTTTGCCTGTGTGTCACCTTTATCAAGTCTTTCACTGCAACACTCTAAGATAATACCAGCATCTATGCCCTCTTCCTTGGTGGATGTGCAACAAGGTATTACTTATTATTTGTTGCTTTGAATAAACCCAACAAATATAGGCCTTTAGAACCAGCTATCCTACAGTAAAAAGAGAGAGAAAGTATGTGTGTATCTCATGATCAAATGCTCTCTGTAGACTAGAGATAGGTTTAGAAAGTGACACTCAAAAGCACTCCAAACACACTTGACACTGAGTGTTCTCTCTCTTCCAGTGGTACCTCCCGGGTCTCAACCCTATTCTCTGGGGTGCAGCTCTGAGCCAGGAAAGGTAGGGCAGCACACTAGTGGGCTACAGGCCCACAACAGGCCCTGTGAATACTCCCTCTAGTTTAGGAAGTTCTAGTCACAGTTAACTGAAATAGATATTTCATTTTGTTAAATTCTCCAGAACGATAAAATGTACAACCTATTTTCTTGCTCTCAAATGCACTCAGAATAACTCCAAATCCTTTACATTACATCAAAAGTTTCCTAGACCTAAAACGTACCAATTATTAATTACATCATCCTCCTACTATCATGTGTGTGTGAAAATCATCTTTTCTGGGAATCCCTGTAGAGTATTGGAGCCTACCACCTGTTTGATACCCTAATTTTGAAATAAATAGAACTTTTATTCAGCTTCACAGCCATCAATCAGGGACTTGACATGCTGTTAGCTTGAATCTGGATGAAAATTACATCTTGGAACATGCCTAACAGCCATGTATTATTTTGTTCAGATGGTATAAAATCCCTGAAATTGGAGGGTTCTGTATACGTGGCAAAGCAGAAAACAGGAAGGTTAAAGGACCTGTCAGAATTAGTGACAAATTTGCAACTAAAAGCCAAGTTTCCAGATGCCTGAAATTCAATGCTCATTCCTCTTGGCTAGCTAATTTCCCTGGTGCTTTGGCCTTGAAATTTGAATTTTTGATGCTTAAAGAAAAGGCGGAAGAGCCAAAACTTCTCAAGGGATAATAGACTGTGCCAAGATCCTTCCATATGGCATCCTTTTAGGAGGACCATGTTTAATAGGGTCACTTTTGAGTGAGGAGGCATCCATCTGCCTCCATGTCCTCTGGGCCTGCCAGCCATAGGTTAGCTACTCCTGTTCCCTTGCTTCTCCTCCACATCTGTCTTTAATCTTTGCACCACCGCCTCCTCACTGACTTGACAGTTCATTTAACTCCAATGAAACACATCTACAAAATGTCTTTACGTTTACCAGAACATCTGCTGCAAAGCGTCTTCCACAGACTTCACAGGGAAATAACTCCTGATTGCCATCTGCGTTAAGATTCAAGAGCACATTATGTTAGTTTCATGGAATTGCCTGGCCCAGAAGAAATGACTGACTGGAGGTGACCTCAATAGCTTGATATCTTCACCCTTTTCCCTCTCTACCAACTGCTTCCAGCTTCTAGTAAGATCCTGTGTAAAGTCACCTGTGTTTTCCTTTCCTAATATAAACTTCTCACTTCACAAAACAAGTAAATTCTCTATCCTTTAGGCAACCACAGTATACTTATTTGATTTAGTGCTTAATATATTTTTAAACAAAGTGCATTACAGCCTTGCTTTAGACATCAGTACAAAGTTAATATATTAGTATAAGCTCATAAATAATCCAATGATAACATCTTGAGGATTCCTACCAGAATAGAAGTTCTATAAAGGTATCGCCAATACCTCCAAGTACCTGACCCCATGGTAAAGTGCTCCAAAAATATTGCTTGAAAGACTGGTGTTGTGGTGTGTAGCCTCTTCTGATCCTGGTGTCCTGTATCAGTGTACCAGTTCAACTCCTGGCTACTCCATTTTCCATTCAGCTTCCTGTTAATGTGTTTGGGAAGGCAGTGTATTTGGAAGGCACAAGTATTTGTGCTCCTGCTGCCAATGTGGAAGACCAGGATGGAGTTCCTGGCCCCTAGCTTTGACCTGGCCTACACATAGCTGTTGCAGCCATTTGGGGAATGAACCAATGGATAGAAGATCTAAAATATCTATTTTTCACTCTCTTCCAAATAAATAATTAAATCTTTTCAAGTTTATTTTTCAAAGATTTATTTATTCATTTGAAAGTCAGAGTTACAGAGAGAGAGACAGAGAGAGCGCAGTCTTCCACCTGTTGGTCCACTCTCCAAATGGCTGCAATGGCCGGAGCTGGGCTGCTCCAAAGCTAGGAACCTGGAGCTTCTTCCAGATCTCTCATGTGGGTTCAGGGGTCCAAGGATTTGGGCCATCTTCCACTGGTTTCCCAGGCTATAGCAGAGAGCTGGATCAGAAGTAAAGCAGTCAGGACTCAGACCTGTGTCCATATGAGATGCCGGCACCACAGGTGGTGGCTTTACCTGCTAAGCCACAGCACCAGGCCCAATAATTAAAACTTAAAAAAAAAATCCACTGGTTGAATGTATAAGCCAAGCAAGAATTGATCCAATACCATAGGAGCAATAATTCGTTCTGTCTAAAACTTCTTATAATCAATGATATGGAAATATTGTGAGGAACCATACATGGGCCCAGCATAGAAAAGGAAAGAAAATAAGCAATTCTTTTAAGTGAATTTGTAAAAATGTCATGAGAAAAATAAAACATTACAGAATTCTGAAAAAAAAAGTTTCACTTCATATTACTTCCATTCAGTTTATCTGGAGATGAGTATGTAAATAATAAAGAGATTTGAGCATAGGATTTTGTATTAGAGGGATGACTGGACTTTTACAGGCAGGGGGCACAATCAGGGACAGTGAGTTGGAGGAATCTGAATAGTGCTGTAGATGATTCATGTGACAAAGGTTAAAAGATGTGACCAGACAGAAGGGGTGTGTGTAACAAGAGGTGAGTTTAGTTTAAAAGCTGGAGATGAAGACCTGAAATGGAAAAAGACACAAGAAATGGGAGATTGTGTCAAACAATCTATAGCATGACTAGATTTGTGGGGGATTGGTGTCAGAGAGAGAAGAGTGCTTGAGGACTATGTCAGATTTAGAGACAGTAGTATTGAGTTCAATGTAGGACTGTGGATAGAAACAGGGAACTTGCAAGATAGACCACCTTAGGAAGAAAAATGACCTCAGTGTTGGAAATACTGAGTTAAAATCAAGTTGTCCAGCCAGCAGGATGGAAAGGAGGGAGGTCAGGGTTGGAGACACAGATGTAGGCTTTGAGTAATGAAGCAAAGGCATGATATTGCCAGGGAAGAAGTCATGGAAAGAGAAGTACAGAGAGGATCCTTAGGGAAATTTATACTTAAGGGCCAAGAAAATGATGATGATAAGCCAGAAGGAAAAACAGAAAACAGGGTCATGGAAGCCAAGGGAAGGCAGTTTGAAAAAGGAAGGTCTGGTTAACAGGAAGCAGATGGTAGCTCACTACAGACATTGTTGATTTAAATGATTTCTTCTCACATCTGCTAATTGGAATTGTATTTTCAACACAGGTCATCCATCACAGCACACAGAAATACCTGGCTATCTCCCTGTTCTTTTGGCCTTCTATCTAAAACTCGATGTTAAATTTTATTTTGGCAAGGGTCCCCCAACCCTCTGTATACTTACTTGTTAATATAAACACTCATCTTGCTTATAAAATTGAGGCTACTTTTTCTAAAACATTGGTGAAAGATAAAATTATTTTTATGAATATAATAGTAATATTTGCATGGCACTTTGTTTTCCAAAACACAGTTTTTATGTTATCTTACATGTTTTTCACAATAACTTTGTGAGACAGAGTTGATCAGAAAATGGAGGCTCAAGGTTAGGTGGGTGACTTTCCTAATGTCATAGAAAGTTGTAACACTAAGACTTGAACCCAAGTCTCTACCTGTACAAGCATTAAGACTATTAATTAGGGGCCAGTGCTGTGGCTCAATGGGTAAAGCTGCCGCCTGCAGTGCTGGCATCCCATATGGGCACCGGTTTGAGTCCCAGCTGCTGTACTTCTGATCCAGCTCTTTGCTATGGCCTGGGAAAGCAGCAGCAGATGGCCCAAGTCCTTGGGCCCCTGCACCCATGTGGGAGACCCAGAGGAAGCTCCTGGCTTTGGATCAGCGCAGCTCCGGCTGTTGTAGCCAACTTGGGAGTGAACTAGCGGATGGAAGACCTCTCTCTGTCTCTCTTCAACTCCTTCTCTGTGTAACTCTTTCAAATAAACAAATCAATCTTTTAAAAAAAGATTATTAATATAATCAATGTCATAACTAGATATATTATGTTAACACCAACTGGAAAAACAACTGGAAATCCCGACAGGGTCAGTGACCTTTGTTGTAAAAACAGTGAGTTTTAGTGAATTCTAGGAGTTAAAAATGACAGAGAGTCAGTGTTGTGGTGCAGAGAGTTAAGTTACCTATTGCAACCTCAACATCTCATATTGGAGTGCTGGTTCAAGTCCATTGCTAATGTGCTTGGGAAAGCAGCACAAATGTTTGGGCCCCTACCACCCACACAAGAGAGTGAGATAGAATTCTAGGCTCCTGGCTTCAGCCTGACCCAGCCCTAGCTGTTGCAACCATTTGGGAAGTGAACCAATGGATGAAAGATCTCTGTCCCTCCCTCTCGGTCACCTTGCCTTTCAAATACATAAAATAAATCTTTTTTAAAACAGTAAGTTTATTTTTAAAAGATTTATTTATGTATTTGAAAAGCAGAGTTATAGAGAGAGGCAGAGAGACAGAAATCTTCCATTTGCTGGTTCACTCCCAAAATGCCCTCAATGGCTAGAGCTGGGCAGATGTGAAGCCAGGAGCCTGGAGCTTCCTTGGGGTTTCCCACATGGGTGCAGGGGCCCAAGGACTTGGCCATCTTCCACTGTTTTCCCAGGCCAGAGCAGAGAGCGGGATCAGAAGTGGAGCTGCCAGGTCTCAAACCAGCGCCCATATGGGCTGCCGGCACTGCAGGCAGCGGCTTTCCTGCTACGCTACAGCACTGGCCCCAATAAAATGAATCTTTAAAAAAAAAGATGAAAAAAATAAATGACAGATACAACATAGCTCAACATTGAGTTACAGCTGTACCACCACATTCTGAATCATGCTCAACTTGCAGTTTCACTATAAGGGCACGCCTACCCATCAAGCTGAATCAAACATGGAGGTCAATGAGGTTTCTATGTGATCACAAGACCCTTAAAACAACTCTTTGAAATAACAATGCCATTTCATAGGTGAATAAAGAAACGTGGGGGGCCGGCACCGTGGCTCACTTGGTTAATCCTCTGCCTGTAGCGCCAGCATCCTATATGGGTGCCGATTCTAGTCCTGGTTGCTCTTCTTCCAGTCCAGCTCTCTGCTGTGGCCTGGGAAGGCAGTGGAGGATGGCCCAAGTGCTTGGGCCCCTGCACCCGCATGGGAGACAAGGAAGAAGCACCTGACTCCTCGCTTCTGATCAATGCAGCGCCGGCCATAGCGGCTATTTGGGGGGTGAACCAACAGAAGGAAGACCTTTCTTTCTGTCTCTAACTCTGTCAAAAACAAACAAACAAACAAACAAACAAAAAAAAACCCTGTGGTATATTCACATCCTATAGTAGTAAGCAACAAAAAGGAAAATCTGTGATATATGCTGAGAGAAAAAAAGCTAATTTCAAAAGGTCTCATCCTCTATTATTCTATTTCTGTAACATTCTCAAAAGAATAAAATTACAGATATGGAAAAGAGGTTAGAGATTTCCACAGGTAACGATTGTTGGTTGGAAAAGGTAGTTTTGATTATACAGGGGTAGAACAAGGGAGATCTTCGTATGATGGAAGAATTATGAATCTTTGTAGTAGTGGTTAATGCATGTTGTGTAATTGAATAGAAATGTGAACACACATGGTACCAATATCAATTTCCTGGTTTTGATACTGTACAATTGTTTAAGATGAAATTTGGGTGTTGCCCAATTCATAATTTGTTCCGTGCTAAAATAGGCTATTTAATTAGAAAGGAAAAAATGGTGTAAGTTGCAGAACATTGGGTGAAAGACACATGGGACCTCTCTGTGCTATTCGGTACTTTTTGTGAAACCATAATTATATCAAAATTTAAAGTTTAAAATTTTTAGCTGGGGGGTCAGCAAGCTATGGCCAATGAGTCAAATCTGGGATTGCTTTTGTAAATAAAGTTTTGTGGGAACATAGCCATGCTCATTTTTACAGAATATTGCTGCTTTTCCATTAAAGCGGCAGAGGTAAGTAGTTGTCATGGGGACTACATGACTTGCAAAGCCAATAATTATGCTGCTTGGCCCGTAACAGAAAGAGGTTGCCAATAAGTAAATGAGAATATAGTAATTAAAAATGATTTGTGGAAGAGTAACATAGAAAAATGTTAATGATAGAAGCTGGCATTGTGGCACGGGGGTTAAGGTACTGTTTATGATGGCAGCATGCCACATAAGAGTACATGTTCAAGTCTCAGCTGCCCTGCTTCCAATGCAGCTTCCTGCTAATGTCCCTGGGAAGGCAGTGGATAATGGCCCAAGAAGTTAGGCCTCTACCATCCATCCATGTGGGAGACCTGGATGGAGTTCCTTGTTCTGGCTTCAGTACGGTACCACCATAGATGTTGTGGCTATTTGGAGAGTGAACCAGTAGATGAAAAGTATCTCTGACACTTTACCTTTGAAATAAATCCCCATATGTGATGCTGGCACTTCAGTCTAGGGCTTTAACCTGCTGCGCCACAGCACCAGCCCCCCACCCCCCATTTTCAAAATTCTTACAAAGATTATGGTTATTTTAAAAAACAGAATTGATGATTTTTTTTTTTTTTTTTGGACAGGCAGAGTGGACAGTGAGAGAGAGAGACAGAGAGAAAGGTCTTCCTTTGCCATTGATTCACCCTCCAATGGCCACCATGGCTGGCGCGCTGCGGCCAGACCACTGCGCTGATCCGAAGCCAGGAGCCAGGTGCTTTTCCTGGTCTCCCATGGGGTACAGGGCCTAAGGACTTGGGCCATCCTCCACTGCACTCCCTGGCCACAGCAGAGAGCGGGCCTGGAAGAGGGGCAACCGGGACAGAATCTGGCACCCCAACTGGAACTAGAGCCCGGTGTGCTGGCGCCGCAAGGCGGAGGATTAGCCTAGTGAGCCGTGGCGCCGTCTAGAATTGATGACTTTCAAAAATAAAAATGAAGCCCTTTAATAGAAAATATTTTAAAACACTTGGGTACCAACTTAGTATTTCAATTTTTTCCTTCTCTACTTAAAGTCACACTTAGAAACTATTATAGTACTATTATTTTTAAATGGTTTATACTGTTTGAAAATTTTAAAAATGAGGCAAAGCAAGTGACTAGAGAATGCAAGTTTTGCTTAGCACATTAAAAATGAAAAATAAGCATTATACAGATTGCAGTTCAAAAGCTTTAAGAAATATGGAGAGAATTAGGGTTAGAATGAAACTCAAACAAAAGTTCTACTTTTGGGGTCTGCACTATTGCACAGTAGGCTAAGCCTCTGCCTGTGGTGCTGGCATCCCACGTGGGGGCCGGTTTGTGTCCTGGCTGCTCCACTTTCGATCCAGCTCTCTGCGATGGCCTGGGAAAGCAATGGAAGACAGCCCAAGTGCCTGGGGCCCTGCACCCATATGGGAGATCCAGAAGACGTTCCTGGTTCCTGGCTTCAGATTGGCCCAGCTCTAGCTGTTGCAGCCATTTGGGGGAGTGAACCGGTGGATGGAAGATCTTTCTGTCTCTCCCTCTCTCTGTTTGTAACCCTGCCTCTCAACTAAATAACAAAAAATCTTGAAAAGAAAGTTCTACTCTTGATCATTCTCTTTCTAAGCTAGAAGAATGTTTTATAGAAACACCCATTACCCACATTTTCTTACAATCATGGTAGAGGATAAAGGAAGACATTTTCCCACTCAGACTTCCATGAGTCAAGGACTCTGAAGTTCCTTGTAGTTCAGCACATGCAGATATTTATTAATAGTAACATTTTTTTTTTTAAGGCAGAGTTAGAGACAGAGAGAAAGGTCTACCTTCTATTGGTTCACCCCCTAAATCTGAAGCCAGGAGCCAGGTGCTTCCTCCTGGTCTCCCATGCAGGTGCAGGGCCCAACCACTTGGGCCATCCTCCACTGCCTTCCCAAGCCACAGCAGAGAGCTGGACTGGAAGAGGAACAACCGGGACAGAATGCGGCGCCCCAGCTGGGACTAGAACCCGGGGTGCTGGCACCGCAGGCGGAGGATTAACCTAGTGAGCTGCAGCGCTGGCCTAGTAATAGTAACATCTTAAATGGCCCTAGGACAAGGAGGTGGCATAATGGTCTCAAATTATCTCAAGAACATGCGTCATAAAATAAGGCAAGGAATTAATACTAGTGAGTTAGGATGATGGATAGAATAGTTGATCTAATTTTGCTTTCCTTTAAAGCTCCAACAGTACAATAATAAAGGAACACAGAAATATAGAGAACCATAATGGCAGGGAGGAAAGAATATGGTAAGATGGGTGATTCGGCTCAACAGTCAAGATGCCACTTGGGACACATCGGGGTGCCTGGTTCAAGTCCTGGCTCCACTTCCGATTCAGCTGCCTGCTAATGCACCTCTTACGAGGCAGCAGGTGATGATGGCTCAAGTACCCAGGTCACTGCCACCCTTATGGGAGACTCAGAGTTACAGGCTCCTGGTTTCATCCTGGCCCCACCCTGGCTGTTGTGAGCACTTGTGGAGTAAACCAGAAGATGGAAGCTCTGTCTCTTTCAAGTAAAGTGAAAATAAAATAAAAATGTATTTAAAGATAGAATCTGGAAAGCTAACAGACAAGCTGACTTGGAGTACATAAAGCCACATCAAAATCCACTCAAACTGGGAAGCATCTAGACTTACAATACAGAACCTTAGAAGTCACAGGAACCCCTGGAGCAACATGCACTTTAGTAACTGGGTTAGGGTGAATGAGTGTGTCAAAATTTAGAGGACCGGGGTGATGTTGTGAAGTGACTGGTAAGGCCTCTGGCTGCAATGCTGGCATCCCACATGGGCCCCAGTTCATGTACTAGTTGCTCCTACCTCCAATCTAACATCCTGCTAATGGCCTGGGAAATCAGTGGAAGATGGTTCAAGTGCTTAGGCTCCTGCCACCCATGTGGGAAACCCAGAAGCAGCTCCTGGCTTCTACCTGGCTCTGCCCTGGCCATTACAGCCACTAGGGGTATGAACCAGTAGATGATAGACTTTTCTGTGTCTCTCTGTCTCTCTGTAACTCTTTTAAATAAATTAGTCTTAAGCAACAATAACAAAATATAGAGGACCAAGAGGAAAGTCATTTGAAAGATTCCTGTACCACACCCAGCAGCCCCTGGCCTACCCATCCTCAAACACACACTCCCTAGAAGACTGCCCTTCCCCCTCTCTAGAAGTCTACTCCCTAGAAATGATAAAGAAGGGGTCTGTGCAGTAGTCAATATAAGATGCAAGTGAAGGCATGGTTACCACAGAGAAGACAGGTAAGTAGACATGGATACATACTCATGTAAACAGTCACTTTTCATTATTTGTGGCAGTTTTGTTCTATGAAGTCATTGCAATCATTGAATTAGCAAACGCCAAACCATTGCTCCTAGGAGAAACAACAGGTTTGGGTTCCTCTGAATTTCTGGTCACACAGCATTGTCAAAGGATCGATACAAAACCTTGTTTTACATGCTTCTTTTTAAAGACATAAGATTTTATATATTGTTGAGTCAATAACATTGAACTCATGCCTCAATGCTTACCCAACATAGTTTCTGCTTAAGGCACATCACTGCCCTGTGCTTAGGAACACTAGATGGCACTTCAACATTATGCTTGGCAGCAATTTTAAACAATGAAGGAACCAAGAAAAACACAAAAGAGTGTGGTGCTAACTAGTCTGTGAAAAGAACAAACAAGGCAGAGCATCACCTGTTCAACCTCAGCTGGGAAAATGCATATTGGGCAAGTCAACTTTTGACTACTTTGTGCATGTCCACAAATGACTGTGAAAATACCACAAGTATTAGGTTTGGGATTACAAGTATATTTTAGTGAGTAGGCAGATTCGCAAATAGGACATCCATACATAGTGACTGTATAAATAGATGCATGGGTGTTTTATATACATACCTATATAATTTAGTGGTTAATCTTATGAACATGATGCTTACAGCAGAGGACACTGCCATGCCTACCTTCCTCTATGTGGTTCCCAGAACTCTACCAGACTCATCAAGGCAGAATAAAAACTTCTAGTAAACTAACCATTCTACTAGACAATATCTAAAGATACTAACATCGAGAATTCCTGAAAAATCCACTCAGATCACCATCCTACAATAAAGCCCATTCATCAAATGTTACTCACCCATTCAGAATTTCCAGTGTTTCTTTTTCCTCCAATCTTAATCACAGGCAAACAGAATGGCATTTCCAGAGATCTGAGGAAAATCTCAGGATATTAAGTCCAAAGCAAACCAAAAAGAAATTGAAAGGAAAACGAAAGCCATAGAGAATTAAAAAAAAATGTTTATAGGAGAAATAAAAATCTCAACAGAAGGCTGAAAGATAGTATTAGGGAAATCTCCCCAAAAGTAGGGTAAAATGGCTTAAAATGGAAAAGAGATATCCACGATCTCAAAAAGATATCCACGATCTCAAAAGATTACGTACCATGTACTCCATCTCACTGAATTACAAAAATGTGAATAAAAGAGGAAAAGGGAATCCAACATTGGAGGGAGAGAAGAGAATTTCCAGGATAACTGGGAACTAGAACAAGAGAGCAACCAGTCTAGGTTGGAGGTCTGTGATTAAAAAGACAGATGTTCAAGGCTACCCTGACCAAGATACTCATTGCCTTCGTAATCTCAATATAGTGACAGGAAAATTCTCTACTTGGTGGATTTGACCATGTCCCCAAAGTGCCTGCTCCCCCTTTATAAAAGCCTATTATTTACATTAGCTGAGGACATTCAGTCCAACCCACAGAAAGCTCTGCACTACTCTTCAGGGATGAAGGCAGATCATGGTAAGCTTAAAAGTGTTTTTTTTTTTTTTCCTATGGCATATTTCCTATAGATCCAGGATGTCCTACCTGTGGTGACTTGTGTTTTCCAGAACTCATTATCTTGATAACATCTGCACTGCAAATTCTGGAAGCTGAAGTCAGATCCTCAGACTGTTAAATCTCCAGGCTGCCTTCACCTAATGGTAGTGAATACCTCCCTCATAGAGCTAGGTTTATGCTTGTTTTCTCTGTTCAAAACTAAATAAGACATTGTGTTTAGAAGTTATCACATGGGTAGTGACAGATGGAGAGAGAGAAAAGAAATGTTTAATAGAACAGCCTGGATTGTACCTTTGAGTTCCCCAAGGGGAAAGAGTGGAATGAAACAGACCTATGAGTAGTTTCTATCTCTCAGCTGGAATTGTGCGTATGTGTTAACTTTATTATACATTCTGCTGCAAGAATTTCTACTTTCTCTTGTCCTGTAACTACAACAAGCTTTATAGAGCTTACATCCACACACATAAAGAAGCAACATAAAAATACGGAAAACATTAAAGCTACACGGTGGCTAGAGATTGGTCCTTCACCTGAGGTGATCCGATGACATCACAATGGAGTTGTAAGTATAGGATATCACAGGCAATACATGCAAATAGCCTTTAAGATATTTAGACTTGTAAAATAACAGCAGTACTAAGATATCTGACAAAAAGTTTTAAACTAATCACAGACCGTGCTTAAACAAAACACACTTAAAATACAGCAAAGTCTTCAGGATCTTGCACCCGACCTGGGATGTCTTAGATCTTTTTTTTTTTTTTTCCTGCTGACCCCTGTGAGTCTAGGTCCTACTGCTCCCTGTCTTATTTGAAAAATTTTTTTCCTGACTATCCATTCACTCATATACTTACTGACTGTACGTCAAATGACAGGCACTGTTCTAGAATTTGGGGACAAAGCAAAAACCAAAATTTCTGCCTTAAGCTTATTCTAGTGAGGGGAGACTCAAAAAGTTTCTATACCACAAGGTGCTATGGATCATGTAAAACAAGGGAGGGATATATGCTATTATTAAATACATGCTCAGGGAAAAGCTTGTAAGGAACATGACAATTAAACACCAACTTTGAGGAAGATTTACTTGCAGTAAAAACACTTCAGGGCCCCAATAAGTGTCAAGATCCTCATCACAAATGGTATTTGTCATAGTGTTGAGTAATATTTTGCTGCACATGCCTGGTCTCCTCAGATGTAGTTGTTAAAAGCAAAAACCCTGTTTCTGTAAATTCCCAACAGCTCATAACATTATCACCTATTGGTTATAGATGACTGAAATATCAACTTATTTAAAATACTACTCTCCTCAATAAAATTGGGATCTTGAAATTTGGAGTAAAATCAGCCTGAATCACAATATACTCCATTAAGACTTGTGGCTTAGTGGCATTCTCCTAATTGCAAAATATAAGACATGCTGATTTAGACCTGCTTAGCCAGCTGTAATGAAATTAGTACCTCATGAGATTGACTTAGAATAGCAACAGGGCAAAGTAACATCCAGTGACTGTAAGACTTGCCAGTTTTGACAATCTTCAAATTTAGATAGCTATCAAAATAAACTGTCAATCCTTCTAAGATTTACCTTCCTAATACATAAACCACCATCTGACCTTTTGCTTCTAAAGGTTGTCACTTCAATACATTCTTCAGTACCTTACTTCTGAAAAAACAAGCTCTTTAGCCAACATTTTTTCTTAACCAATGTAGCCAGAATACCTAATGTTATTATTTTTTGTAATTTTTAAAAATTCTATAATTTACTTAAGATTTAAACTGATTAAAACTTGGTAGAGCAAAGTTAACACCTAACAGCTTTGGAAAAGCCATAATAATCAAAAAATTACAGATGAAGACACTAATAATTTAGATATAAATGCAGCTCACCTGCCAAAAACAGTTCTGCCCCAGCCATTCTGTTCCTAACTCAAACTGACACTGTCACCACAGATTTTTACAGTCCAGTCCAGGTAATAACACATTAGTCAGGTGCACAAGAACAAGGGTCACTAATCTGTCTGTTTCAAGAAGTCATAGTTTACCAAATAATCAACAATTGTGATGGTATCACTGCTTACACCTTGAAAAAGTTTACAGAAGTTAAAACAAAAGCAACTTATCAAAAACAGGGAAGGTTTTCAACTCTGTATTTTAACCAAGTATGAACTGTTCCAAGCATTAAATAATGTTGAAAACACAAACTGTCTAGTTGGAACTGAAGTAAATATTTCTGATTTTGACCTAGGGACTCACTGAAGCCAAGTTAAGTTTTCTTGATTATTTCTTCTACTATTCTGTTTCCTGATTTCAGTGTTCCTAAATCCCAAAAGCGAGTCATCAGGCAATGCTACAGGAAATCTGAATCCTAACAACCTTAATATTCAGCTTTACCATATTTTTGAAATCATTCTTTGTATACAGCAAGGGAAAACTTAGCTTCCTACCAGTGGAACTTTCTCAGGAAAATTCTTCTCACCACTGAGAATAAACTCAGCATTTCAAAATTGAGTTTAACCAGGCCACTTTTCTACATACAGCAAATTAAACCATGTAATTCCTGAAAAGGCGTGGAAAGGATTCAAAGAAATATTTGAGAACATCTGCAAAAAAACAACTATGACAACCATATAAATAAATGAATACACCAATTCCACTCAAGTTATGAAGATATTTTCCTTTAATTTCACCAAACATTTCATATTCATGAAGTCATTTAATTCAGAGCAAATCCAAGCTTATAAAATTAAATTTAAAAATATTACAGTATTTACAAGACAGGGGATAGTTGCTGCTATAAAATACAAACATTAAGATTTTTCTCTTTAATACCTGCCAGTAAAGATGGCAGAACAGTTTTGACTCTGAAGATATTGATTACTGAACATAATGAGGGGCCCACTGCAGAGAATGTGATTATCCCAAATCTTCTATTTCTATAACTTTAGACCCTCAACATTTTTCTTCAAGTTCAGCAGCTCCTTTTCCTGGCGCCTTTTCTCCAATTTGAATGCTAACTTGTTGGCTTTCTTCTCCACTCTCCGTTCCTGTACAAGAGTATACTTACGTTATTTCAAATCTTTAAACTGATACAGACTACTTTCATAAACAAAAGTTTCCTGTAACTTCCCTTCTACCAGGCAGGGTAACATTTAAAAAATATGCTTTACCTTGCGCTCTTCTTTTATAGCTTGCTTTCTCACTCTTTTATCTTCTTTGCTTTCATTTTTAGAACGTGGTTGGGTTGATACCTTTGGCAGATCACTGGCATTAATCATCTGCATTCGTTCAACTTGCTTTGTTGTGAGTCCTTTCACAGGAAGGACATTGAGAGGTATTCCTGTTTTAGAAGACAGTCGGATTTGTTTGGGCTAAAATAAAGATGAAATGGCACTACAGTTATTTACTATTCATACTTAAAAATAGCACAGCTATGACACACTATTGGTGCTTTTCTGATAAGCACTCTAGTCACAAGGATAAAGATACTGAGAAAATCTGTACACTCCATTTCCTGCATTGCACATTTCAAAGAGCTAAGGACAGTTGGACTTACCTTTGGTTGATACTTGATAAGCTGTGGGTGATTATATAAATTTGAATATGTGCCTAAAAAAAACAAAAGACTATGTATGAATAAGCTTTCACAATCAGCACACTGAAGTCTTTCTTATAAATGCTTATTAAATTATTTATCATAGGAGTATTATCCTCCAAAATCATTTTTCCATAATATCCTCAAGCCTAACTTCTTCTAAAATATATATACTTTTGGGACAGTTAGCACATGATAGTTCAAGTACATGGCTCTCAGCCACTCACGTGGGCGATCAGGATTGCCTTTTGGGCTCCTGGCTAGAGCCTGGCCTAACCCTGGTTGTTGTAGGCTTTTGGGGAGTAAACCACCAGATGGAAGATCTCTATCAGATTAAGATAAAAGTAAAAAATTTTAAAAACTAAATTTATATATCTATCTTCCAAGCTGACGTATTAATCCTTTAAAATTACTACCAGACCTTTGCCAATGAAATGGACACTAAGATACTTACTACAGATGGATTCACAATCCCACTTCTCCTTGGGTTCTTCAAGAACAACAGTAGTAAGTTCTTCCTCCTCAGACTCATCAAGCTTATTCATTGGCACATCTTGATCTTCAAAGGGCTCAATAGTATTCAATTTCACACAGCTTTTGGTTGAGTTTTTAAAAGTGAAGACATAGGAGGGGAAAAAACACCATTATACTATGTGTCACTACAGCTACACTTAGAGCTATGGAAACAACAATTTTTAAAATGCATATACTCCTGGGCTCCTGTCCTTGTTAAAACTTTATTCTACCCAGGCCTGCTCCTTTGTTACAGTAGATTCTAGACATTCACTCTACTGCCAGGTATGTAAGATTATAAGACATATTAAACATGTTGGTACTTGTCCTAAGAAAACAAGTTTTTTTAAAGCCCAGAGAAACATTAGCTCATCTGTTTTCCAAAAGTACTCACAGTACATAGTTTCTTTTCCCACTATGGGATCTACATAGTACAAAGATCATGGAAGATCAGACCTTTCTAGCAGATTTAAGCATCTTGATAGTTTCAGAGAAGAGTCATCTTTGAAATGAATGCTGAGCTGCCAAATAATTGACTGGTCAGTTCTGCTAACCCAGTTGGACAAACAAACTCTTATCTTTCTGTAAACCATGAACACCTACTTCTCAGAGCATCTGGCATTTCAGAAAGATGAAAACAAAGTATATACTTGTAAGTCAGAATAATTTTTCACAGTGGCTAAAAGCACCATAGTATTCTCCAACTGGAAGAAGATCCTTGGTTATTCTAGGACTCTTCAAGTCACAGATGAAGAAAGTAGTTTTTGGTGTGTTCCCCCTGTTATTTTCAGCTTCAGAACTCTTCATATCAAAACAAAGACAAAACAAGGAGCAGATCTTTAGCCTAGCAGTTAAGAAATCCAAGTCTCATATGGGAGTACCTGAGTTTGATTCCCTACTCTGATTACAGTTTCCTGCCAATGCAAACCCTGAGAGGCTGTGGTGATGGCTCAAGTAATTGGTTTTCTGCGACTCACAAAGAACACTTAGATTCAGTTCCTACTCTGAGTACCTGCTTTGGCCCTGGTCCAGCCCCAGCAATCAGGTGGGCATTTGGGGAATAAAGTAGCAAACAGCAGGTGGGAAGTCTTTGTGTCTGTCTACCTCTCAAGAAAAAACTGATGAATAATGTATAAGGCAAAATGTACTGTTTCTTACTATAGATACTGAAGAGCTAAATTTTCTCACAAATCATTTATCAAACTACAGACTTTACTTGGAGATGAAAAAAAGCAGGTAAACAAGGAAAGTCATCATACTTCTCTGCCTTCTCCTTATAGTAGTCATTCAAAACTTCCTGTAAGCGACTGCTGTCTACTTGAATGGAACCTTCCAACTCAGTGTTGTCCAGAGCCCCGATCTCATCATCATCGTATTGTTCATAAAACTTAAATATAAACAGAGAAAAGATTTCATAAAAAAGAGGAAATGTACTTAACACTACAGCATCCAAACATTATTTTCACAGTAATTTTATTCCTATATATTAAACACTATTTTAAGACCACACTACCATTACAATATACATAGGATTTAGCATTGTTAAACAGTAGGTTGTAGACTTTTTAAATTTAAGGTTTATTAAGCAGAGTGACACAGAGTGAGAATGAGAGAGATCTTGCATCTGCTGGTTCACTCCCTAAAGGGCTGCAATGGCCAGGGTTGGGCACGGCTGAAGCTGGGAGCCTGGAACTCCATTCGGTCTCCCATGCGGCATCAGGGACCCAAAAGTACTTGGGCCATCATTTGCTGCTTTCCCATGTACGTCAGCAGGACCTGAACTACTGCTCCCAAATGGGATGCTAGCAACACAAATGCCATTTTTGGCATATAAGACATTTCTGCTCAGTACTTTTTTAAAATTTTGTATTTAGACTGAAAATAGGCTCCCACTGAACATGAAGCAAGAAGCAGTCACTCTATTAAGTCTGGAGAAAAAGTTGCTAGGCACGTGGGAGACCTGGACTTGGCTTTTGGCTTCAGCCTGGCCCAGAACTAATGAGGGTATTTGGGGAGTGACCTGGTGGATGGGCGAACTCTTTCTCTGCTTTCCAAAAGAATAACATAAAAAAAATTAAAAAGTTATAACTTTTGGGGCCAGCACCGTGGCGCAGGTTAATCCTCCGCCTGCTCCATTTCCAATCCAGCTCTCTGCTATGGCCTGGGAAAGCAACAGAGGATGGCCCAGGTCCTTGGGCCCCTGTACCCACATGGCAGACCGGGAAGAAGCGACTGGCTCCTGGTTTCGGATTGGCATAGCTCCGGCCGTTGCAGCCATCTGGGGAGTGAATCAGGAAGGAAGGAAGGAAGGAAGACCTTTCTCTCTGTCTCATCCTCTCACTGTCTGTAACTCTACCTCTCAAATAAAATAAATAAAATCTTTAAAAAAAAAGTTATAACTTTTATCTTGGATTTACCCTGAATGAAACACATCCTTCATTCATGGAACAGTCTGAACTACTACATAAATGTCAAATACAACTTTAAGGCTTGGGATGTACTAATGAGCACTAACACAAAAAACTCTGCCCTTGAAGACAATCCTACATACAAAATAAGTAATAAATAAGCACATCACAGATGATGTCAGGAAAGTGTATAAAACAGGATATGTGGGAAACAGAACTTGCATAAACAAATGGGCTACTAAACAGAAATATCAGCACTGTATTCAGCATAGAATGAAATCCAGGACATCATAATTCAGGTTTTTTGCCTTTTACAACTTATTTTATTTGAAAGGCAGAGTTAGAGAGAGAAAATCCATTCAATGGTTCACTCCCCAAATGGCAGCAACAGCCAGGGCTAGGCTAAGCTGAACCCAGGATCCTGGAACTCCAACCATGTTTCCCACGTGGGTGGCAGGGACCCAGGCAAGTGGGCCACCTTTCACTGCTTCCTTCGGTACATTAGCAGGAAGCTGTATCAATACAGAGCAGCTGGGACTTGAATAGGTTCCCAAATGGAATGCTGGCGTCATGGGTGGCAGCTTAACTCACTGTACTCAACATTGGCCCCCAACAATTCAGGCTTCTGAAGTATCTTACACTCTTACTCCTTTCTGTTCTTAAC